AATAGGCTTCTTAAATGAGTATAACATGGGTCCAATTCCAAAAAAAACCCTCAACTTTATACTTTGTCCCAATTATATCTTGAACTTTTTTTTGTCTCAAGAAAAACCACAAACTTTTATCCAAGTACCAAATCTACCCAACCGTTACAAATCCGTCCATTTAACGTCAGAAAAAAAAAAAAAAACAAAAACAAACAGAGAACCGGGAAGGAGCGGCGGCCAAGCCTTCGCCGGTGGCCGCCGCCACAGCCGCCGGGAAGGAGCGGCGGCCCTCGCCTGGGCCTTCCCGAGGGCCGGCGACCCTCGCCGGCCCCGGGCGAGTAGCCGGCGAGGGCGTGCAGCCCCCAATCTGGGCGAGGTCGCCGGCCCGGGGAGTCGCCGGCGAGAGCGTGCGGCCCCGATCTACGGGCGAGGGTCGCCGAGCCGAGGCGAGTCGCCGGCGAGGGCGTGCGGCCCCGATCTCGGGGAGGGTCGCCCTCGCCCGGATTGGGGCCGCACGCCCTCGCCAACTACTCGCCCGGGGCGGCGAGGGCCGCCGGCCTTCGGCTGGGCCTTCCGGGGCCGGCGACCCTCGCCGAGCCGGCGAGTCTACAGCGAGGGCGTGCGGCCCCGATCTCGGGGAGGCGCGACCCTCGCCCCGATCGAGGGCTGCACACCCTCGCCGACGACTCGCCCGGGGCCGGCGAGGGTTGCCGGCCCTCGGGAAGGCCCAGGCGAGGGCAGCCGCTCCTTCCCGGCGGCCACCGGCGAAGGCTTGGCCGCCGCTCCTTCCCGGTTCTCTGTTTGTTTTTGTTTTTTTTTGTTTTTTTGTTTTTTTTTTCTGACGTTAAATGGACGGATTTGTAACGGTTGGGTAGATTTGGGACTTAGATAAAAGTTTGTAGTTTTTCTTGAGACAAAAAAAAGTTCAAGATATAATTGGGATAAAGTATAAAGTTGAGGGTTTTTTTTGGAATTGGGCCGTATAACATGGGGTTTTTTTCCATGAAAGACGTGACAAGAGACGTGCACAGTAGCGGGTGAAAAGGAGTGAGAAAAGGTAGGGTGATTAAATGCACGTCTCTTCGATTTACAGAACAATTATGCCTGGATATTAAAAGAATAAAAAACCATTTGATTCTTTTAAAAGAAGCATATGTGAATATAAAAAAAAAAAACTTAGTTCTTGATTGTCGACCCAGACTAGATGAGACCGAGCAAGATGCGATGGAGGAAAGATTGGCCAAGTGTTTATAAGGATAGCCGGCAAATTCAGTTTATTAGAAAACCAATTTAGCCGACAGAAGATATAAATGAAAATGGCTAAGTTCAACAGGAAATGTTGACAAACCAAGATTTACTCAAATGATAAAAGCCACGGTTGATACAACCATCGGCAAGATGAGGTAACCGTATAAATGGTGAAGTCAGCGACCCTAGGCGTAACTGTAGGAGAAACCCTCGCAAAGGGAGAAATTTACATAATTGTCGAGTAGTTGAGCCGAGAAGATTGTGGAGACAAGAAGCTCGTGAGCAATTGATGCGAAGAAGTGGAGAAAATATAATTGTCAGAGTAGAAGAAATGACACGACCGGTGAAGTAGTGGAAGCACAGCCGTCGGAATGGTGGAGTTGGTGATTTGTGAATAATTGTTTGTACGTAGAAGTCACTGAATTGTAGGATACATGAGCATTGCGCTTAATTTCTCTTTGAACCGTTGTTAATTGTCGTTGGCAGTAAAAAAAACTTGAATTGTAGTTTGTAAAAGGGTCTACCAATCAATCAAAGAACACAAATTAGTTTTATCTTCAATTCATCTTTACATTTCAATACCTTTACATGGCTTGATATGATTGTTTACGGTCTTAGTACTTTTAATTCCTCGTCATACGATTCCTATCCAAGAACCAACAAAAGTCCTTTCACACCTTTTATCGCAGTGATCCATGATTCGAAAGATATTTCGTCAACACTTTTTGGGAAAATAGATTCGTTATGTAGAGTATAGCAATTGGCAGAAAAAAGAAAAGAAAAGAAAAAGTCGAAGACTAGAATAACAAGACAAATATTCAATTGTCCAGATATTGACGTGTAATCGAGAAAAGTTGAACTCTTCGTGTTGACCTAGAAGTGGAAAAGTCATAATTGAAATTCATCGAATAAGAGTATGAAATTATAACGGTTCACCCGTAAAATATTTTTAATAACCAACATTGTGAAAAGGTTGATGCATTAGAAACTCTAAATTTTTCTTATTTGATATTTTAACATAGTTTTTTCATGGGCGGGCTTATAACGTAATTTCTTCAACACTTTGACGCAAGTACCTTTAAATCCCGTACCGTAATAACAAGATAAAATTTACATATGATACGGTACATATGGCAAATTCTTGCCTTGTCTTAGATCCGCCGTGGACTTAATGACGTGAATCGTCAATCATGTGGATCCCATATAGAACCTGTTAAATCTAACTACTCACATTACTTGGTCAATAGTGGCCCAAGTTTAGGTTTTAAAGTTATTGCTCTTCTAAATTTGGGTTAATACCACCAAAAATCCTAAACTTGTACATTTGTGACAAATTTACCCTAAACCAATTTTTTGACCACAAAAAATTCCAAACTGGAACACTTGCGATAAATTTACCCCAAATTAATTTTTTAACCATAAAAAATAAAAAAATCGGTACACTTGTGACAAATTTACCCTCCATTAAACTAGATTAATACCACGAAATCATAAATTGGTACGTCTGTGACAAACAGAGGGGTAAAATCCCAAACCGATACACCTGTCAACTGTCTTGTGTTATCTAACTTAGTAATTTGACAGTAAAATTTAATGGAAATTAACGGAGGGTAAATTTGTCATATGTGTACTAATTTGTGGTTTCGTGGTATTAATCTAATTTAATAGAGGATAAATTTATCACAAGTGTACCAGTTTAGGGTTTTTTGTAGTATTGACCCTCTAAATTTTTAGTCCAGACAACATTAAAAATTAAGTTGGATGTGAAGAAAAAGTGGAACCATGCACAAAATGATCGCCTTCCAAATAAGAGCTTGCTCAATCAGTTGCTAAATTCTAGTAATAATAATGATTATTATCTTTAGTATAAGCTAATTTTAGATTTAATATAAACTAAGAATAGACACCCTTTGGCTAATAACATAGACGGACTCTCATGTCCTTTTTTGGCCAAACTTTTCGCATGGAAAAGTGCTCACGATACGTGTAGTAATTAGGGTAAGATGTGGAAAAACCGAAAGGATTGACAAATTATCAACTTTGATAGCTAAAAAACATTCACTTTTGATCTTGATGTTGGTACATATTGCCACGGAGGTACGTGGATCAATATTTCACCAAATTATGGAAATACTCGAGGTCTTCTAGGATTTCCATTCACTTAAAACTAATAAAAAAGAGGTTAACACCATTAAAAATCTCAAATTGGGACATATGACACATTTATCCAAAACTAATTTTCATCTCACCGAAAAACCCAAATCGATACCCTCATGGCTCATTTACGCCCAAACTAACTTTGATCTTACGCAAAATCCCACACTGGTATCACCAAACACATTTATCCAAACTAATCTTCATCTAACAAAAAATTCCAAATCAGTAAACCTAATCTAAATCCACCCTCTTTTAGAATACATGCATGATTTTCCACATTGAAATTGTCATTCTCCATGTTAAATTCGTCTTGCAGACGTGTATTAACACATATACATTATAATGGGATATTAAACGGAATGCTAACGTAGGGTAGATTTGAGTCAACAGTACCATTTTGTGATTTTTTATGAGACAGAAATTACTTTGGGGTAAATATATCATAGGATATTGGTTTAGGATTTTTAGTGGTATAAACCCATTAAAAAATGCCTTTTTTTCAGTCAATTGGACTTTGTGATTTAATGGAATTTTCAGGAATCAAATTAATGAAATGAAAATTTTAAAACTCAAATACACTATTGACACAAGTTTTAGGATTTCTCCACATGTTTCTACCATATCTCTCTGTGCCTTAAGCATAGAGATTTCACAAATGCAAAATTCTCAGAGACTCATATGTAGGCTCTAAGCGATCTCACAAATTTGCGGCTTCTTGATCTCATTATAGAAGCAAACACATGATCTTATAATATATAAGACTTTTAAAACCCGTGTCTTATTCTACTCACTTTATCAATTTTCTCTTCACAAAACTCCATCTCGTTGGACCCTAAACACTATTAATAACCAATGTCACCTGCCTTTCATGTTAGAGGAAAAATTGACATTAATGGTCAGTTTGTTACACGAAAGACTCACGTTTTGAAAGATATTTTCCTATAAAATGATCTTATAAAAATTTAAGGAAGGAAAAATATTTCTATCGTCTATAAAAAAATTTAGGCATAAATTATTATCGATAATGAAAATATTCTTTTGTTGGCCAATTATTTCAAACGATATAACTAATCATTTTTAGGAAAATATTTTTCAAATTATTCATTTTTCGCGAAACAAACGGATAATAAATTAAATACTTCAACCCTTACATAAGCACTGAGGTATGAAGAGGCTGGTATTTCTTGTGAACTTATATAAGTGCTTTGGTATTCCAATATGGAAGTAATTCTCCATCGTGTTTATATGCAAATCTCTACTATTAAAATCATAAGAACAATTTGAAATTAAGAACTTGTAGGTATATTAGTTTAGCATATTGTCCGATTTTCTAAATAGATCGGATTTTAGATTCAACCAATAAATACAATCTTAAAATTTTTTGGGACAAGTGTACTAAAAATCTTAATACTTACTCTTAAAGTACAATCAAATTCTAAAAACTTTCAAAAAATATAATTAGATCCTAGAAATTATCAAATTAATGCGTAATCGAGTACTTTCGTTAGTTTCGTCTAATTAAGTTAAAAGGAAAAGGCTGAGGAGACATTTTTTATTTTTCTTAAAAGAATAATGCTGATGTGGTTGTCATGTAAGCTATTTTAGAAAAATAATGAAAAGAAATTAAAAGAGAAACTCGAAGGTGCCGCTCATGACCCTGGGGATTACTTGACACCGGCTGAGGCGGCGGCGGCGGCGGCGGAAGGAGGGGCAAGGGTCGCCGCTGGTATTCCGTACCCGCCGCCGCCGGCGCAATCGTGCGGCCAGCCCCTCTCGAGCCCTTCTCCGTCCGACTCCATGTTCAACAACTCCCCTGCACTCCCTCTCTCTCTCGCTCTCTGCACGATCCCACATCCTCACCATCGTCTCTCTCTCTCTCTCTCTCTTTCTATTCACCACCTCCGCAGGAGGAGTAGCAAAGAGCAAGAGAGTAAATCCCGGCAGCGACAACCTCGGCGGCAGGCGGAGCCCCAGGCGACGATGGCCAGGGCGCCTCCTCCTCCGACAAACCCCCAGGAGGAGGAGGAGGAAGCGCTGCCACCGCCGCACACGCTCCCCAGCAAATCCAAGAACTCAGAGCGTACGGCTCCCCATCTCTTGCTTCACATTCACAGTACCCAGATGAAAAGAAAAGGATTACCATATAAAGATTCTTCTTTTGGATTGTATTTTGACTATGATTCGTTCAATCTCAGAGGCATTTTCTTAGTTATTTGTGGCTGGCTTTAGGTTCTTCAATCAGTGTCTGCATCCTGAGGAGCAGAAGTAAAGGTTGGAGCTGAGCAGAGAGGCCTTTTGCTTGGGGGACCAGAAGAGGTTCCGGAATCGTCGCACCCAGATGAAGGTAAACTGTAAAAATTCGATCTTTTCAAAGAAATCTGTAGAAAGTTTTCATCTGTCTTTTTGCGGGGTTTTCTTGATTGCACGAACTGCGGCCGCGAGGGGACCCGGTTCGCACCGATTTCGGTTGAGAAGCAGGACGTCTCTGGATCTTGGAACGCTTGCTTCGTGGAGGACCAACGCTTCCAGTTTTGCTTTTAGTTTTTCAGTGCTTTTTTTCTTGAAATAGCTGACATGATAATCACATCAGCACCTCCCTTAGGAAAATTAGGGAAATTTGTAAATAAGAGTCCAAAATGCTTTCATTTTTTCAAATAGGATTTGAAGTGGACTTTGTGTCAAATAAGGACCTGAAGTGGCCATGACTTTTTTAAATAAGGGCCTGATCTCGCCGGTCACCGGCTGGTTAAATATTTCGACAGTTCAAGGATATTTTCGTCCAAAGACAATATTAATTTTAAATTATTTTTTCTTTTTTTCCTTTTTCTTTCTTTTTTCTTCTGTTATCGGCTGGTTAAATATTTCGACAGTTCAATTATATTTTTGTCCAAAGACAATATTAATTTTAAATTATTTTTTCTTTTTTTTCCTTTTTCTTTCTTTTTTCCTCTAATTTTTTCTTTCTTTTGGTCACCCGCGATGCTCGAAGAAGGCTGGGTGAGGTCGCCCTTGTCAGCCATAGCTAAACGCCGGCTCTCACCAGATCGGGCGAGGGTGACCCTTGCCTAGCGCTCTTTGGGCATTGCCGGTGGCCGGCGACCGGCAAAACAGAAAGAAAAAACGAGAAAAAGGAAAAAATAAAGAAAAAGGAAAAAAGAAAAGAAGGTAAAAAATTCAAAAAAAGGTAAAGTACAAAAATGCTCTTGACCATCTAGAAAGTTATGCTCTTCTTTGAAACTGACATAACCACTTCATGCTCTTATTTGAAACAATGTTTATTTCAGACATTTTTTTGGAATTTTCCCGAAAAATAATAAAAAACACTACATTAGCTTTTCCCCTTAGGTAAATTGGATGAGTTAATGAAGAAATTTGATTGCATCAATTTGATAAATTTTGGAACTCAATTATACTTTTCACGACAAGTTTTAAGAATTCTGATACATTTATCTCTAAATTTCTCTTGTACTATTAGAAGTGAAGGATTCCTAGGGTACTATATATTTCCTTAAAATATTCCTATGACCCAAAACGTCCCCATGTATCTTGTAATTGCGCATCGTCATTTGACATACGAAAATCATCAGAATAGATATATATGGGCAAAGAAGATCTCTATGTCAAAGAACTTGAGAAATATTCCTTATAATATTTCTTTCTCGGGGCGACAATTTATTAATTGAAGAAAATTTCCTTAACTGGCCAAACTCAGTCTAGTTAGTAGTATATGCCATATACTACTATATGGGATGGAAATTACAAGACACCGTATGGACGGGTAAATACCGGCTTTTTTTTAAAGTCCGTTAAAAAATGAGAATCTAAAAATGATGTTATTCTCATTTAAAATTATATATATTATTTAAAAGTTATATTTTTAAAGTATTGCAACTAATAATGGATTTAAGTACTATTTTTGCTATCTAGCGAGAAATTAAAAGATGAACGAGTATAAATGACAATTGAGATGTTACGTCAATAAAAAGTGGAGTATAGAAAGACGTGTTTTATACACTTACCATTCATTTACTTAACAAGAACGAGTATTTTATCATAAAAAGCAAAATTACATGGGAGAAGGAGGGTTTATTGAAAATATGTATGTGCATTTATTTTATGTGATAAAATGCGAGTATTTTAAATTAGTGTTGTAAAAGATCTTGATTACTATTTTAATTTTTTTTTTCATAAAGAAAGTAGAAAGCGTCTTATTGCTTTCTTTAGTTAGGAATTACTCTTTTTAGGCAATAATTTTTTCGTTCTTTAAGTTGGTCGCTAAATTAAACAGAAAATAAACTTTTAGCAAAAAATTAAAATGAATTGAGCACTTGGAATTGGACTAAAAAAGCAATGTGTTTAAGCATTGGTGAATAAACTTTAAGTAACCTTATCCTATGAAACTACTAATTAAAAATCTATCACCATTTCGCGTATAAACTTTTCATTCAAAACTTATCATATCCGACTAATATGCTCAGACGAAAAAAGGAAAAGAATATTTAAAAAAAAGGAAAAAATATCCACAAAAAACTTTAAACTATGTCTATTGTAACACTGATACCCCAAACTTGTTTAGGTCACTTGTACCCCTAATTTATACTAATACGACAAAAATACTCTTTGCCTACCACAAAAAATTCTAAACTTTGCTCATGGTGATACCGATACTCAAAAAAATTTCTTCGTGTCGCCAATGCCCAAATTTGTATTGATATGTCATGCCAGTAAAGGTTTTAGGATTTTCGTGACATGAAAAAGTTTAAAATATTGATATTACATTGCGCATAATTTATGATTTTGGTGGCTCCGATCTCTGGTGCAAAAGGATGAGCCGTCGGATCAGGACCAGCAACGGCTAAAACTGGCCCTTGTCGTGTGGATCAGATTCGAAACTTTGCTTTATCCGCTGGTCCCAAAAGCGGAAGGCGAGTACGAAATCGTTGCCATCTCTCGCTTGTTTGCAATCGTCCCCACTTCTGCACGTTTCAATTCATTACGATAATTATGATTAAAGAAAGAGGCAACAAAGGAGCGAAAACCGTTGGACTCAAACGCTTCTCGTTTCGGTTCTTGATTTTGTCTTTTGTCTTAATTTTTTTCTCCTTCCAATTTTCTTTTTGCATCTTGAATTTTGATTAGGTCCTTCTTAATCAGACATCCTGCGTGGTGAAGGGTTACTGGTCTAAGGTGACTTGGTCGTGTTGTGATCTTGATGAGGACTGGTTTAGCAGCAACCAAGCAACCTCTGTCGTTCTGTCACCAATTAAAAGATTCGTCTTCTTTTGGTTTTTTTTCGAGGAAATTCTCCCTACTTGATAGGACAATCCCGAGCTTCTCGAATTCGATTTCTCGAATCGAGATGCGATATTTTCTATCTTTTAAATTTCTTAAAGCCATGACCTTGTTATCTTCCTTCACAATCAGTGTTGTCTTATCTGGTTGTTGATTGTCTTGCTTGCTTTAATTGATCTTTTCTAGTTCAAGATTGGGTGCATCTTAATCATATATTGCAGTCTTTTCAAATTGCAGCTGGTAAAGATTCACCTAATCATATATTGCACTCTAGCTCACCTAACAAATCTGGCCAAAACAAGAAATATTCACCTAACAATAGTACGTTTCGATATTGACCCTAGAGAATTCAATATTAATGCATAAACTCCTATGCGGAGAAGAAAAATCGCGCATGAACCCATACGGCATAGCGATTGATTTCTCCATGCTTTAATTAATAATTAATTGGACGATCGGATCGAACCCGATTTCATATCTATGACGGGACACTTTTCTATTGGGTCGCTTAATACGATAGCACGACTCTATAGCCGCTCATAAAAAAACAAAATTGAATTTAGGAGGGGCATAAAAAATGACGCTAGTCAACTCTTTTGATGTACATGCAATGCAACTTGTGGAGATATAAACAATAAATATAATCTTTTTTATTTCTTCCCTGGGAATCTACAGCGGCACGCTCAGCAGAGCTGAAGAAAAGGGCAAATTCTTGAAGACTTTCTTTGGGGACTCAACTGCAAAAGATTTCACATTGACCCATGATCGATCTTGATCGAAGAAGGATTTAATACTGTTTCAGCTCAAAAGAGAAGCGTTTATTATGAGAATCTGGAGACCTTTTGGTAGCATTTGACAGCAGCATTCTATGAACTAAAAGCTGCAAGTTGTTTTGTCCTATATTGGAGTTTCTAGAGTCTCTCTATGAAGAGTTTGAAGGGAAATGCAATGGTGGAGAGAGAGAGAGAGTTCTTTAAAAAAGAAAAAACCCTTATCTTATTGTCGTGGTGAAGGTGATCTACACTTTCTTTTGGAGCTTCCAAAGAGACACCACCAACTTTTTTCCGCCACTCAAAACATAGCCCTATCTGCTAAGGAAAAGCCACTAACATTTTTGCGCCCTCCAAATTACTCTGTAGTCTATACAAGAAGCTGCACCTCATACAAATTACATCTGTCTCTCTCTCTCTCTCTCTGTCTCTCTCTCTGTCTCTCTGTCTCTCTCTCACATTCTTGGTTTGCTGGTCAGCCATTCTGCAGAGGTTCTCAGGTAAAATCCTTTGCCAATTTTGAGCACCATCTTAAGCAATTGAGTACATCTTTGGCATTAAAATAGGTCTTTTGACTGTTGGACTGAAGGTCTGATCCATGACGTCTCCATTTTGATCACTTGAAGGTTGTCCTGCCACATTTTGTTTGGTTGACAATTGACATGGACTTCATCTCTTTGTGACGATAATGTCTGCAAAAGAAGTTGTGTGTGTTGCAATGAACGGAGTATTAGTCATTGTATTCTTTTATTTTGATAACTAAATCAATCGTTGGCAATTATAAAGTGAATGTTGTGGACCTCATCTGGAATCAATTGCTCTAGTATTGACTCGAGTCTCAGATTTTTCTTGTTCTATTACTTCAATTGGTCATACTAATTATTGCTGTGTTCATTAGTCTTGCTCTGCCATGGTGATATCTTATGGATATTTTCGCCAAAGCGGTTGGCAAGAGTAATTTGCAATTATGCCAAGTTTGTAAAAGAAGTAACTACTTCAATGAGATTGCCTTTTGGGTTGCTAGAGGAAGGAATTAGGTGCACTGTCAAGATTCAGGAGTTGATCATTCGTTATATCTAATGAAATGTTAGAATAACATGTTTGTTGGTTGACCCTTGTAAGTTGGGATTCCATTAATCTCTTTAAATAGTTGCGCTCTGCAGTCTGCTTCCTTCAACTATGTAACTGCCCTCAGTATATTACTTACCCACAATCTCTCTTTTGGGAAGAGGCCTGAGAATAATCTTGAAACGGTTCTGAAAGAAGTATAGTTATGCTACCTTTTTTATTTTTCTTGTAAAGGAGAATTTGGTAGCATCCTTAGGGCCATTGATATGACTCACTATTTATGCTTAAAAAATGCAAGTTTTTCCTACATGAAAGTAGTCTTGTTTTTAGAGAAAACAAATGTGTAGCTTTTCAATTTTCTGTGTATCAAGAAGCGCATTTCTGTTTTCTGGCGCTGCCACATGCAAAAGAGACCCTTTCTTTGAAGTACCTAGTCCATATCTTTTCAAAACTAAAACTCTTGAGCATGTCGAAAGGCAAGTCATA